TAACATGTTTATATACTATAAATATCTGTACTTTTATTTATTAAAATTTACAACTGTTGTATAAAAATAAAACTAGTAAATATGAATAGAGCAGTTAAAATTAAAGGGAAAAAATCTCGTACGGTGCGCGCATCACACAACTTTCACTTACCACCCTCCTCTTAGCAGAAATAAGTATTTTCAGATATAGAGGAAGTGAAAGTAAAAATTATAAACGCTATATTGATTTATATTTCATTTTGGATATTTTTATATTTGTTTAAATACCCTTATAAATACAAATTTTAAAAATTATAACGCTGTAAATTATACAATTAAATATTAAATAATACCAACGAAAACATTTAGGAAAACCGCATATGTATGTGTACATAATATTGTCGGAGTTCGTATTTTATTATGCTCATGTTAGGTATGGAAGCGTGTTCTAATCTTCGGGCCACCTCGGATGAGCTCGGCCGCGCTCGTATCCCTTTGGTTCCTTCATTACAACTATTCTCTATTATGATCTCATATTTCTCCTTTAGTTAATTATCATATTCTTTAATTTGTTATATTTAACTACTTTTTATGTTAGAGATCAATGTGAAATGGTTAACTATTTCATATAAAAAAAATTAAAGGTACTTTAGAGAAAGCTAATATTGAAAATTGACCATTTAAGCCCTGTTAGAGAACATCGATGAGATTGAAACCTACATAATATTAAAAACCGCTTAATTGTACACTGATATAATGGATTTAATCAAAATCATCAGAGCCGTTTTCGAGAAAATATTGAAATGTGTTTCATCGGCGATATAAAGTACCACTTCTGGTAAGACGATTTTGACAAAAAAGTTGCTGTAACATCTCAAGTATATTCAAACATTAAATATACAATTTCACTTTCATATGACTTTTCATTTTTGAGTTACACCTGCCACATACACACAGACCATTTTACGGGACTTGGTTATTTGGACTCAGAAAACCTCAAAACATGTATTTCTATTGAAAACTCAGATTCGAAAATTTTCACGATCGCAACCGTCCCTTACTACATATTTCATTTATAGGTAAGTGAAGATAAAAAAAAAATATTAATTGATTATTATTTCCCAATAACCACCAATCCTACTCAACATAGTGTCTTGGGCATCGACAGAAGAATTACATAGGTCCACTTTTTTAATTGAAACGAATGGCACTTCACAAACGATTCAAACAATTTTTTTTTTTCAAAACTGTAACTGAAACAGAGACTAACTACACATAGTTATTTAAATACTTTACTGGATTTACTCCTCAGACATATAAGGTATAGCCAAGGACCCATTTATAAAAAAAAATTAAACTTACCCAAAAAAATGTTTTGGCTCAGAAAAAAAGCATTCTGTTACGGGTACGATATGTACACTTCGTTAGAATATGAAGAGGGAACTAAAAAAGCGCTGGATGAGAGATCTTCCTTAAACAGGGAAAGTAATTCAATCAAGCCATATATAGGGCTGCTAGGTACTATTATTATCTATATCAGCCCTATCACTTTCATCATCATTAACATTTAGTTGACATTTGCAAATACAAAAATACAAAAATAAACTACACAAAATTAATTTATCTCAGAAATAATTTGACATAGAAAATAATTTTACTTTTTATTTTCGAACGTTGTAAAACCTCAGTGTGTAAAATATATTCCGTGTTAGATAAGCTGACCCCAATATGTCTGCTTCCGTGTTGATATCTCCCCGAGTTAAGGATGCTTTCCGCTTTTAAATGTATTTTTCAACTAGTATTTTTTAAATATTTATTTCATTTTAACTGAAGCAGGCTATATTCTCTGGTATAGTATTGTTTGCATTATTATGATTTTAATGGTTATTAATTATTTTAATAATTATTAATTATTAATAATTAATAATAATTATTAATAATTTTAATTATTATGATTTCTGCGAAAATAATATATATTTATATCAAATAATATTATATATAACATATAATATATATTATACAATTTCTATCTATATTCATATCTAAAGAAAGTAGAAATGGTGTTCCGTACCAACTATATCACAATTAAAGGGAGCGTAAAAATTCTTTTTATTTCATTTCCTATTGTACATAGGTGTGAATGTGATTTATTTACTTTAATTTCATTTAGCTTTTATCTATTATTTCATTTTTTTTTTTCGTACACAGGCATATCAATTTACTTATTTTAAGTAAATGCCTGTGTACGAAAAAAAAATGAAATAATAGATAAAAGCTAAATGAAATTAAAGTAAATAAATCACATTCACACCTATGTACAATAGGAAATGAAATAAAAAGAATTTTTATGCTCCCTTTTAGAATTTTTTTTTTCTGTATTATTGAAATATTAATTGTATGTACATATTGTTTGAATGAATCATGTAGCCTTTATATTAATGCGCTTTAATGTGGCAGAATGTATTAATATTCAATAAAGAAAGATAAAAAAAAAAAAATCATTTCCATTAATGTCCCGTTCAACGTTTTCGCTCCCGCCAACTATTTTTTCAGTGGGAAACATGTTTCGGGTATATATATATATATATATATATATATATATATATATATATATATATATATATATATATATATATTGAGTTATGGAATCATTTTTCATGAAAACAAAAGAAATCGCATAGAATCTAGCAGATTCTTTCAACTACTGTCAGACATATATTTACATATATGTTACCTATTAAGAAAAATAATTGACCATTAGTAACAACTAAGCCTCAAAATATATTACAATAAATCTAAATACAATAGCAAGCATAGAGAGCACTGTGTTAGAGAAGTTGAGTAAATTAAACCAATTCTGTCCATAATAGAAAGTAATGGTAGAACAGATTCAAAAAATAAAAACACAAAAGTACCAAAGAGGTATTGAAGCCAACGCTTGAAATACTTTAATAAAAACAAAATAAAATATCTACAAAGTATTAGTGGAAAGTGTAATGTTATATGGACAAGGCGTGCCCACCCCCCTCGCCAAAGTCGATAGCGCAAGAACCTATCCCATTCCACGATATTGTATTTCTCTCCTTTTCATAAAAACAGAGCAAGGAAAAGAAGAAGTAGAAAAATCGTAGATCATATACAATTACACTGGCTGTGGTATGTTTTTTTTTTTAATATATATTCTCCTTGTTCCTTATTCTGAAATTTTTCATGCCGAAAATTCATAACTCCATTGAAATGTGAATATAAATTGAAACCGTTAATATATACCCCCCCTCCCACTCAAAATGTGTGATGACGCAACTTTCGCCATAAAACTTCCTTCTGGGCACCCCTGATATGGATTAAAGACAAGGTTTCTCCACATGAACCAAGGAAAAAATCCTTTCTGGATAAATGTATTTTTGGTTGTGAACTGCTAAAAGAGAAAGGATTGAAAGAATCAGAAACATCCCTTTAAGGGAGAAATCGGAAGTGAAACAGAACTTTATTGAGGTTGTGGAAAACAGAAGACTCAGACGGTATGCCTAGTCAATAACAATTAATTTTTAGTCTATATGTATATCCGGTATTTTAAATTATTTTATTTCTGGAGAATTAAAATAAACTCCAATAAATCCCACCAAATTACCTTTACCCTTCGTCGTAAGCCAATGACTTCCTGTCCTACAGTTTCCTTTAACAATACTCAACTTATCCCTGTTGAGGAAATCCGATACCTAGGACTCCACCTGGACAAACGACTAACTTGGAAACCTCATATCAGACTGAAACGTCAAGAAACCGCTCGATGTTTCCGATTACTTCAGCACTTACTAGACAAACGCTCTAAACTTCCAATTAATTACACAGGAATCATATACTTGACTATAATAAGGCCTATTTGGACTTACGGAGTTGAGCTATGGGGCTACACTAAACCATCGAATTCCTCTCGCATCCAATCCTTACAATCCAAAATCCTTCGTAAAATCCTCAATGCTCCCTACTTTGTTACAAATAAAACCATCCATAATGACCTTAATGTTTCTTTTGTTTCAGATCTGGCCCATTCAGATACCTATCCTTCCATAATAAACTTTAGAATCATCCCAACCGTCTCGTTTCTAACCTTGCTTCCTCTTCGATTCCTGATAACCCTCCGAGGCGTCTCAAATGAAGATGGCCCCGTGATCTCCTAATATAGACATTAGAGTGCTACCAATGGGTAGTTAATCAACAAGTATTTTCATGTCATTATATCCGTTATGTTCAAATTTACTAGATTTATTTATTTAATACAGTTGTAAATATCATTAAGGAATAATAAAAAAAAAAATATTTTATTTTATAAAAACATATAGAAACGTTTATAACTTCAGATATAGTCAGCTATTTATCAATTATTGCCAACGACAGCCGGATTGTTCGACCATACTCCGGCCCATGTCGGTCTAACCCCAGGGGCCTTCAGTTGAGCTGGGTGTCCCCTAGCACACCTGAGGCCCATTCATTAGCAGGTAACTGCCGTCCTGAATAAACCATGCCGGTCTAGTTCCCTCCCCCCTCGCGATATTGAGCTATGATATATTCAGAGTCAATCTAACGCATTTGGATAGCCATTTTCAGTTATTCCAAATATATAATTTTCATATCGGTATACATAGCTAGCTGTACTATATGTATGTTAAACATGTAATAATGAATTAGCCCGCATATATTCAATTTTCTGTTTACATCTATTTTAGTCTATACAATATTGACCAAGATATAACAGGGGCGAGTTGACCGATAGGGCTAACAAGTGTGCAACATATTCGTTGCCCGGCAGCCTGATGAACCGAAGATTACGAGTTCCAAACCCATTGCAAGAAGCTTTTAACTCTGGCATTATTCCTCCACCCTCTTCCCTGACTCGGAAAAAAAAACCGTTTAGTCGAAAAGGCAAGGAAGGAGAGGACAAAATAAGACTACACTAAGGTTCAAGATGCTGAGGAGAGAAAACATCTTTAGCTAGGAAAGACCTAGAGACTAGTCGTCACTCAAAGCCAGGGAAGTAGCATAGAGGCCTCAGAACCTGTAAGTGGAGACCTCGAGGACGCTACTGCCAAGACCGGTGAAGAACCGCATCCTGCCCAAGGTGACCCTGATTTCGACTGAACACGGAGATCTATACCGGGAGGTTGATAAATATCCCTGGTAGCAGGCAGCATTACTGGCACGGAGTCGAAGACGGTAGGAGCCGACTGGATTCTTACCAGAAAACCAACTTCGAGGAAACAAATCCTACAAATGACGCAGAAGTCGGAGATGTTGGCCGAAAGGTGCACATAGTTAGTTCCCTGACATCTTTTACGATGGTCAAAGTAAACTAAACATCACGTATTACTTCCCAAAATGGGAAGAACGAAGAAGAAGACCAGGCTATAAGAAAATAATATTAGCCCGTCTGATATGATTATTTTTGACTGAATCTGGAAAACCAATATATATAAAAATTCAGGTCGAACTGTGTGCTATAATTGTTTAAAATATTAAATGCATTAAACCCTTCAAGTCCTTCGACCAAAAAGTCCTTCCAACAAACAATAGTCGATCCGCCTATTCGGCTATATGAGGTTATTTACAAACCAGGGAAGAGGGTGAGATATTAATGCCAGAGTTAAATGCCTCAGGCACCGAGACTCAAACTCGTAATCTTTAGTTTATCAGGTTGCTTAGGTATGGAGTATTATATTTTCCTTACAGTAGTATATTTCCATTAAATAACAATAAATAATAATCAAAAAGTATATACAATAAATAAAATAAAATCATCTAAAAATAAGAAAATTAAAACTATGCAAAAAACATATGCATATCTATATACACTATTTACAATCAGGCGAGGGAACTCCAGGAGAACCTTGCGCTAATCTCTCTCTGCATCACTGGTGCTAAAGCCATCGGAGATTGATCGAGAGCACTTTAGCCACATACACTCATGTCTTGAGTGGAGAATCTGGCCATTGCCAGAACTCCAATATATACAATCTACAAAAAGTCGCGAGGCCACTGCCGTTTCAACCTTCTTGGAGGATTATAGGGATGGGTGGTGCTTGATTAAGAGGATTTGGACGATACGTAAGGTGCTGGTGAAATTTGGAGAATTTTTCTGGGATAAGGTCTAAGACAAATGGGATATTGAGGTCATGGTGTAGGGTTTTGTTGGTTACATAGAAAGGAGCATCGACTATTGTTCGAAGGACTTTTGATTGGAAGGATTGGATGCGCTTGATGTTAATAAATATTTAACTTCTTTAAGTTAATTCTTTTTATTAACTTTATTTATTTGATATTTTCTTTTGTACTTATATCGTTTTATTTTCTGAACTGTTTACGTGCTCTTTCATCATTATTAAAATGTTTCTTATATATACATATATTCCTAGGTACATTCCTCTATCATATCATCAACAATCATCGTCCTTCCTACGCCTACAACCTTCTCCAATTCAAGTCCTCAGTCCACGCCCTCTCCACAAGATCTCGACCTTCCGATCTTTACATTCCTTCTCACAGATCTGCCTCGTTCCAAAACTTCTTTATTGCACGTTCTGTTAGTTTTTGGAATTCCCTTCCTATCAAAATTCGACATTCTTCATCATTATCTACATTCAAAACCCTCCTATTCCAATTCCTGTCCCAAAAACAGTCAGGCACCAGCTAACCTTTTATGTAACATTACATATTATCTATAAGACCATATTCACATATAGCTCATGACCTGAATACTTATTATAGATTCGACCTTCTTTTTCTCTTTTTTTTTTTTTTCAACAGAAAGATTTTACTGTTAAGAAGAATATAACATTTATTTTTTCTGTATTTCTTATTTTGTTCTAAAAGGGTTTATTTATATTTTAACATTGTACATAGTTTTAAGTATCTTAGTATGGTTACAAGAGTTTTTTATATAGATTTTTTTATTTTATTTTGTATATAGTATATATAACCAATATTTTTTTCTTTTATTTTCTTTAATGACCCATCTCTATCTTAATTTGTTATGTTTGTTTTTATCTGGCCAGATGTAAAATTTTAATTTCTGTACTTTTTTGTTATTCTGAAGGGACTTCGTCCCAGAATAAAATTATTTTTCTATTTCTATTTCTATTCTATATCAAATTTTAAGCCTTATATATACATATATATATATATATATTTGTATATATATATGTATATATAAGGCTTAAAAATTTGACTGAATTACTAAAAGAAAGGTCGTATGGCAAAACTAAAAAAAGAAATATGGAGGATGGTTGACATTACCTGGAATATACTGAATTGGCGATTCAATAAAGGAATAAGTAGTATTTAAGGACTGTGTGTTATAGAAAGCTTCACAAATATGCATATCTAAAGAATTCTAAAAGGGAAAGATGAGATTATTTTTCAAAAGAAGCAGTTCTCTGAAGGTATATAATAGGAGTCGGTAGGTTGAGATCTTATATTTATTAGGTAAAAGAAGAAGGAAGGTTTATTTATTTATTTTTTTCAAACTAGGGGAAAGAATTCTTAAATATTGATTCGCCTAGGTAAAGGAATTATAGCTGTGTAAACCATATGACCTCTTCTATTTGTAATCATTAATTAATAAAAATAATAATAATAATAATATTAAAACGTGAGCAGCAGATATTTTCCATAATTTCCAGAAGAAGCATTATTTTATTTTTTTTTTTTTTAATGGATTTTTGTTTGGAAAACAAATCAATAGTGCTTTAATTAACTAAGGAAATTAAATGAAATTTCAAGATTAGTTCAACTGATTTAATTCTTTACTATCATTTTCAGCTTTTGATGAATTATTTTTATGTTCAAAATTCAATATTGTATTTACACCCACATATATTGCTTTTATGATCAATTGTCTATATTATTTGCTAAAAGCTATTGACATACCAACTACAGACAAGGGAACGCTTGGGAACTCCAAATACGAATCTAATGAACCAATTCATTATTCACTTCAATCAGACATCAAGCCCACCAGACAGTTCGCCGTATACAAGGCAGCCATAATCGAAGTGGGGAAAATAAGAGAAGAATCTAGAAGCTGGCTGATTTAATCACGTAGTTAAATTTACTTAAAATAAAATAAGAATAAGGGAATATACGATCTAAGTGACGGAACTCTGCTGCTCACGTTTTTTTTTTTATTTTTAACGTGAAATCTTCATTATACGCGTTTTGCACTTTTTTGTGGAGAGAGAATTAGATTGATCCGCCAGATTTTAAAGTCGGCTATAGTCGACTAATTCAAATGTTTTTACAAATGGTTTACAATATCTCATAAACTTAAAATCTGGCCTGCATACTGTATGCGAGGGAATTTTTCAACATTTCATCCTCTCTATAATAAGCTATAATTCAAAATTATATCTTAACGCGACGCCGTGTTAGAGAGGCTAAAAGGAAAAAATAGTGTCGAAAACCAAATGATAACGAGGTTAGTTGAATATATGGGTTAAAATATTTCAAATTCTAAAAATCAGGCCTGAATACTGTATGAGAGGGAAATGTTCAGCATTTTGTCTTCTTTGTATTGAGCTATTATTCAAAATTGTATCTTAATCCAACACAGTGTTAAAGAGTAGGAGAGGGAAAAAGATAATGTACAAAACCATGTGATAACGAATTTATGCTAATATATAGTACAAATGATAAAATTATTACAACATTGAAATTTTATTGACAATATATTTCTTAATAATATGAAATTATTAACGATATATAAAAAATAAGAAAACAAATAATATAAATGATAATTTTAGCAGAAAGTCTTAAGAAAGGTATAATGAAAAATATATAATAATATAACATTACATAACCTTCCAACTGGAGATTTCCACATAAGTATTATACAGTCGTTGGATATGACAAACCAGTAAATATCACATTTTTTTTTTTTTATATGATATTTACAACTCTATAAAAAAAATACATCTAGTAAATTCGGACATGGATATAATGACATGAAACACTTGTTGAGAAACTACCCACTGGTAGCACTCTAATAATATGTCTATATTAGGAGATCACGGGGCCACCTTCTTTTCAGGGACCTCGGAGAATTATCTGGAATTGAATAGAAAGCAAGGTTAGAAGCAAGATGGTTGGGATGGTTACGAAGTTTATTATGGAAGGATAGTTATCTGGATTGGGCCAAATCTGAAACAAAAGGAACATTAAGGTCATTGTGGATGATTTTATTTGTAACAAGGTAAGGAACATTGAGGATTTTACGAAGGATTTTGGATTGGAAGGATTGGATGCGAGAGGAATTTGGTGGTGGAGCCCCATAGCTCAAATCCGCAAGTCCAAATAGGCCTTATTATAGTCATGTTAAGAAGTTTTAGATTTCGTAATTACAATTAATAGTTCCAGATTATCTACTCAAGCCATGTATGTGTTGAGACGCTATAATGTCTCTGCTCAGCCCCTATTATAGTCATGTATATGAGTCTTTTGTAATTAATTGGAAGGTTAGAGCGTTTGTCTAGTAAGGGCTGAAGTAGTCGGAAACGTCGAACGGTTTCTAATCGTTTCAGTCTGGTTCGAGGATCATAAATTTAAATAACTAAATTATAAATCATTAAGGGCATTTTTAGATTGACCTTGATGTCTATATTTCATTCAATAGAACTTTGTTAATAACGTTAAAAAATTCTTATTAAACTAATTAACCCCAACTACAATACACCTAGAATACATGGATTAGTTAAGTTACATAAAAGTGGCTCTCCACTTAGTCCTATAATCAGTAACATCAATTTGGAAACTGAAATATTTTGCCAAATATCTCAATTCCACACTCAATAACCTAAAATCAGATAGTAACAATGTTGTAGAAAAATTCAATGGAGATGGATAAATTGCTTGGAAGAATAATTAAAATAAACAGTAGGTAAATATTGTTTGGTCTGTTTTGATGTAGAATGAAAACAATTGAAAAATTCTGGGATACAATTGAACCTCATACCTAAATTAAAGAGTGTTTTGGAAGATATGGATTAAAATATCTCAGAAACTAAAAATCGGATCTGAATACTCAAAGCGAGGGATCATTTATAACTTATATTTCATATTATTAATCTCGCCATGTTGCTGTTTTTACTTCTATAGTCTGGTCTAAAGCACACACCTTAGTTGTTTTTTTTAACTGTGTGTCTCAAGCTTGAAATAATAATAAAACGAGAACAATAAATAGGACTCGTTTCGAGAGTTCAGCCTCGAGAGCTTCCTCGCCAAATTGGCCCCATTGAGCACAAATACTACTCAATCCCCGTAGATAGCGATGCCCGTGCAACTAGGTAACCCAACACCTATGGCCATTGTAAACAGACTATAGATAACTATGGACGGTGCTCTGATAGGTCGCCAAATATCCCTTCTTGCCAACTCCCGTACTCTATTAATCATCAGGAAGATGGTCCGATAGCTTCTGTTCGAGTACCTTATCTCGAAGAGGGAGTATTGGCAAGCCAGATTATATATGAAGGTCTGCCTTTGAACAAACGATAGAGTCTGTATTTATTCTGGGATGAGTGAAGTAGTTCAGTGGGTTACGCATTTGCCATCTAACCCTAATCCTCAGGGAAATTCCTGCTGCAGTAGGAAATTTAAAAAAAAAAAAAATTATACCAGTATCGACTCCATCGAGTCTACCCTGGATCACAAATAATTGATAACTCTGACAATTGAGTGTGAATAAGGAACACATTATAAACAATAAATTATTCAAACAAGTCATATTCCATCATCTGCTTCATAATCAATCTTCCGCAAACATGTAAGAAGTTTTAGATTTCATAATTACAATTAGTAGTTGGGGCTCCACCAAACCATCGAATTCCTATCGTATCAAATCCTTACAATCTGAAATCCTCCGTAAAATCCTTAATGGTTTTATTTGTGACAAAGTATGGAGACTTTGTCACAAATAAAACCATTCATAAAGACCTTAATGTAACATATGTTGCTGATTTAGCTCGAGCCAGATATCTATCCTTTCATGATAAACTTCAGACCCATCCAAATCCGCTTGTTTCCACTCTTGCTTCTTTCTCGATTCCTGATAATCCTCCTAGGCTTCTGAAAAGGAGATGGCCTCGTGATCTTCTTACTTAAAATTATTTAGAGAGTGCTACCACTGAGTAGTAACTCTTCAAGCCTGTACATGCCATTATTTATATTTGCGCATATTTACTTGTTGTATTTGTATACAGTTGTAAATTCCATTAAATAAAAAAAAAAACTATTAGTAGTTAATTGACAAGAACCAGTTTATTAATTTCTTCTGTTCATTATTTCTAAAATTGGTGTATTGAGTTTTTATTTGTTATATTAGGCCAATTATTCGCCAACATTTTATTTATTAGCTATTTTATTACAACGTTTCGACCATCACTAGGGCCATTTTCAAGTCTGAAAAATTGTAATGTCATTATTAGTTAACATTTAAGATCTACAAAAAAAAAAAATTTTTTTTTTTTAATTTCATATATATATATATATATATATATATATATATATATATATATATATATATATATATATATATATATATATATATATATAAAGATAATTAAAGAAATACAAATACTTACAATGAAATATAAATAAATATAGCGTCTATAAGTTTTACTTTCACTCCCCCTTTGTCTGAAAATACTTATTTCTGCTAATAAGACGGTGCATACTGAAAGTCGTGTGATGCGCGCACCAGTTTTTTTTTATATATTTGTCTGCATACCAGACTAATGCACGTATTTGATGAACTTTGTCATTATTCTTAGAGGGACTTAAGTCCCAGAATAAAATTATTTTTCATTCATGCAAGTCTTTTTTTTTTTTTTTATCCATTGTAGTTTTCTTTGCATCATGTTTTTTTTTTCATACGATTAATTTAAAATAGATTCCTTTGGATCAATTTTTAATGCTGTTTATTTTCAGACTCATTTCACCGTTCTAGAAACCTGGGTTGATCATTATTTTTAATCGAATCAATAAACATCAGAGATCAATTTAAGTCTTCATTTATAAATCAGGCATGAATTTTTAATTAAAAATCGAATATAATAATTTTTACATGATTTTGTGAAGAAAAAACATCGATTTCAAACTCTGGTATCAACTAAGGACATTTATAATTTAGATAAAGCAAATAAGGAGGCAAGTCGTATGGGTTTTCATCTAATTTTTTACTCAAAATAGTCTAACTCTATCAATTAAATTAATTGTGGTATAGCTATAGAATTCATCGAAGCAAGCTTCAAAATTGTTGTCCTCATACCATTAAAACGTGGTATACTAATTGGGATAACTAGTTGGCCCGTATAATAATTCGCAGAAAATTTTCTTTAGTGAAGGAATAGCAAAACAATATGGAAATAAGTAGATTCTTTGTATTCTTTGAGGAAGGAAATAATATTTTTTCCTTGGTCGATTAGATAATTCCATTTAACATAATAGATCAAAATATTTGTACAAATTGCTTTCTAACCGTTGACTGAAACGTTAACATTGAAAACAAAGCCTCAATCATGTGATTTTATAAATCATTAAAAAATATAAAATGTACAAACAGAAAAATGCCTTTAAGAAATAACAAAGCATATAACAACCAGGAATAAAAGGTAGTAGAAAAGTAAATGCAGTATCTTTAAACAGGAAGAAATTATTAAGTATAGGAAAACTAATGGACTGTATCTTTGTTAATAATTGTCCGATTTTTGGATTTTGTTTTGTTTTGTAGGTTATTTAGTAATATTTCTAATTATTAAAATTATTAGAAAAAGTTTCAGTATTATTGGGTTTTTATTTTCGATAGTTTTTCAGTTCTCTTGCAGCTAAAACTTTTTCAATTTCAATTTTTTAAGTAAGTAGAGTACTGTCGATTTCGCTATAAATTCGATACAAAAACTGTGTTTTTTGTCTTATTCAAAGCTACGCAAACAAACGCCAGATTTGAATCATTTGTAATTCATTTAAGACAAATTATAACTCTAGTTATCCGATTATTGCAATTGCAATTATTGCAATTATTTTTTTTTATTTTAATGAAATTTACAACTGTATTACATATAAAATACAATAAGTAAATGTGACATTGGTAACATGACATGTACAACATGAAGAGAGACTACCCATTGGTAGAACTCAATGTAGGCAGTAAGCCGGAGTACGGTCGAACCATCCGGCTCTCGTTGGCAATAATTGATAAATAGCTGACTATATCTGATGTTATAAACGTTTCTATATGTTTTTTTTAAAATATTATGTATATATATATTTTATTATTCCTTCATGATATTTACAACTGTATTAAATAAATAAATCTAGTAAATTTGAACATAACGGATGTAATGACATGAAAACACTTGCTGAGTAACTACCCATTGGTAGCACTCTAATGATATGTCTACATTAGGAGATCACGGGGCCATCTTCTTTTCAGACGCCTCGGAGGGTTATCAGGGATCGAGGAGGAAGCAAGGTTTGAAACGAGAGGATTCGAATGGTTCTGCAGTTTGTTATGGAAGGGAAGGTATCTGGATGGGGCCAAATCGGAAACATATATGGATGATTAGGTCTTTATGGATGATTTTTTTTGTTTTGTATGTAATTTAGTAATCTTTTTAATTATGGGTACAATCAAGAAAAAAATGCATATTTTTTGAGCTAATTCGTATTCGAGGGTCTTTCAAGCTGCGAAATACAAATCTCAACTCTTTCGCCATAAAAAAATATTTGAACACATGCTCATACGGTCGGTACAAATTTTTTAAATTCTACTAATTTATAATCGACTTTTACGATTTTTTTTTAGGTAATTTAGTAATCTTACTTATTATCATGGGTACAATCAATTTCCTTCATAACTTTTCTCCCATAAATTTTGGGAGGATATGACTATTTTTCGCATGTGAAGAAGAAGATCTCATTCATCATTGGATTTAATGAAGAATTGACGAAGTTATGGCGTACCGATAAAAAAAACACCTTTCAGAAATAATATAAAGGATAAAATATTTATATTATGATATAACACTAATTTAAATACATAAATATACCACTATAAGTTATATAACTACTAAAATATGTTTGAATAGAGAAAGTTTTTGCAAAAAAAAAATTCATCCATTAGGAGCATTCTGGTTCTTTTTTCCCCTCCTGGCCCAAGTTAGCAGACAATACTCCTTTTGTCCTGTAATTGAACCCCGCATTCTAATGGCTTCTGCGGAATGGAACCTCTGAGATGGGATCGGGGATATTTTGAAGGAGGGAATTCCCTCCGTCATTATATTAATTTTATATTATCATGTAATTCGTGGAATAAATCTAATATACACTATTAAAATAAAACTATTATAGCATAAAATAAAATGGTAATAATAATTAATATTGTTTAGGAAGATACAGTCTTTGTTTAGGTGTATACATACAGTGGTTCACAGCCGAAATGATACACCAGGATATAGATAGAAATTTTTGAAAATTCTTGACAACGTTATAGGGTAAGCGCCCCAATGATGGACATTTTTAGAATTTTTTTAGTATTTTTTTGGATTATGCCGCCGTAATTATTATATGGCATAAATAAATACACAATAACAAGCCCAAAGGTGTATATTAAGAAAATTGAAAAAAAAAATATTTTAAAAAAGTTTCAATATCATCGGGTTTTTATTTTCGATAGTTTTTCAGTTATATTTCAGCTGAAACTTTTTCCATTGCAATTTTTCAAGTAGAGTTCTGTCGATTAAGCTATAAAGTCGATACAAAAAATGTCTTTTTTTTTTGTCTTATTCCAAGCTACTCAACCAAATTCCACATTTGAATCATTTATAATTCATTTAAGACAAATTATAACTATAAAGATGACGATAAGTTTTATTACCAACAATAAATTTAACAATGTTATGATATTTCATGGCAATAAATTCTGAAAAAAGTCCACCTGAAATCATGCCTTCACAGTTAATTATTAAAATCATTGAATCACGTATTTTTTTTCTTGTAAATATAATATGTATTTATTCTTTATTAAACATAGAAATAAATTAAGTTTGTTAGTAAAACTTATTTCAATTCTGCCACCTATTTATATCATGATGGTCACAGGTAATGTGTGATGATAAACACAAACCATCCTTTGAGAAAAGAAATCCAATTAATTAATTCTGGACCAATCAATATATTATAAATCCAAATTTGTTTAACTAATTTTTATTTAACATTTCTTGGTAATTATCATCAGTACTTATTCAGTGGCATCCCGAATAAAATTGTTAACCCCTCTCCAAGCTTAAAATCCATTTACCTCAGTCCTTGTACCTAGTCCTCCGATCCTACCTCTCTGACCGCTCCTTTCGAGTTCGCTGTGGAACAGAATTTTCCAATATCTACTCCGTTAAAGC